GACAGATCGGGTGATGAGCCGCACGTAACACCTCTAGCTTCTGAACCGGAGGTTTCATGCTTGGGAGCAGGTGAAGAGTTTTTGTATACGGTATGCTGTATGCTTGTACAAGATGTTTGGAATATCAGACGAATTGCATAGTGGATCAAATCTTCTGTGCGATTGTAGTTTGGCAATGAATCTTTGTGAAGGCAAACTGGTGGTGAGCGTCTTGATTGTACATCGTACGTATGCGTACTACTTTTGCAGATGGTGATGAGCTCCTTCGAAGTCCTTTGCGCTCTGATAAGCATTCGTGAGTGCGAAGCCTTTTTATCCAGATCCGCTCCAAAAGTAAGTCTGTTCAAGTGACGTTGCACTGTCAAATGAAGTGACAGTGGAGCTAGCCAGATGGGTGCACCCTGTGATTTGTGTCGCTTTATGTGTTGTTTTTTTGGCTTTTGGCTGTGTGGATAGCTTTGCATGATCCTCTCTAGTTTAGGCTGCTTCCTAAATTCAACACTTAGGTGGCCAGGCAGTTTGGTCGGATCTTGTCAGTGGAGTGCTTTCTTCCCTTTTTTCGTACGATTGGAGGTATGCTGATTGGGCTTGCCGGCTCAGTGGCACGAGCGGGGACCTCAGTCGACTTTTTCAGAAAAACCGGCTCACTGAGCGTCATGTGTAATCGTCTCAGCTAGGGCAGCGGCTGCCTGCTTGTGGGACTCTCAGCTTTGTACTGCGAGCAGTAGCACTTGAAGCTTGTGGGGCGACAGGGTATGTCTTGCATGGAGGGTGTCTTTGACTTACAGGGTGTGGTAGCCATGTTCCAACGGACATTTTTGACTTCAGTTTCTTCATGTAGAAAATGTGCGTGGAGCACTGACTTGCTTCGATCTTTCCTTCATTGCTTACATTATGAGCCTGAGGCCTCTGAGATGGACCAACCTTTCAGAAGTGACGCATGAGATAAACTGCTACCACAAGCAACTGTAGTGAGTGAGCCTCCTTTTTCATATTTCAAGGATTCACGGAATGGGTAAGGAGCAATGGTTTTCGCCCCTCGCATCCCTCAAACTAGTGTTGAGGCCTGTTGCGACAATGCAAGTTTTATCCCAGCTATCCAAAACTGATCTCGTCGCTTTGTTCTATAGTGTATACTGTATCTCCGGCTGTTGAAAAGAAGGACTCCAACCTCTATTTCCAATAAGGACCAAGGATATCTATTTGATTGGAAGTTGGATTGGATCATTTGGTGACTAATAAGGATATCTCTATCCTAGTGACTGATATGTCACTCGATTGGATCCCGCCAAGGCCTTGGCCACAGCGATCGAGATGGGCTTTTTGGGCTACTCCTTCGCATGCTCTTTGACCAAGGCAACGATCTCGTCCCACACGGGGTCCCAAGAAATTGGGGTCTTTGCCGCGGTACGTGGTCCAGGAGGGAGGGGGAGATTTTGTTCAAAGCTCTGTGGATCTGAGAATTGCTAGCTGCAAGCAGAACTAACCAGAACTCCCGTCTTTTTCAGGCTTTGCGACGGCCTTGGGTGGCGGTGGTGATTCTAGCTGTCCGGCTGCCAAAATCTCGCCGTCGTTGTTGCTAAGCCTGCAAGATCCCCGGAGTTCTAGAACTGAGTGAAATCTGAGAGTGAAGAGTGTCCTCTCACAGACTGGCTGGATGCTACCAATTTTGAGACCTTTGGAATCAGGACAAGCAAAAGTGACAAATCACATTTCCTTTTTGTTTGATTTCGCATGTACCACCAGTGACCATGCCCAGATGCCACCAGTGACCATGCTCTTTGCCTCGGTGCTGGCATTTGAGGGAGCGTATCAGGCCAGAGAGTGACGCCAGTATTGGCGGGTAGTGAAGCTGGTGACGCTTGAACCTTGATCCATATGGAGAAGTCTGTGGTGCAGTTGATGAGCTATATTATATCTAGCTGAGGATGTAACCGTGACCACCGCTTTGGCAGCGTTGCCCCAACGGCCTAAACGGCCTAAGCAAACGTCCTGATACAAGCGACCAGGCCAAGTCCACGCCGGCGTTCTGTGGGCTTATTGCTGGAGAGCCCGGTCACTATAATGAAAGGTTGGTCACTGCATGCACCTTTAACTTTTACGGATTCCTGAATGAGGCTCACTTTTACTTTTAGATGGTTTCCGAGGTTTCCTCCCAGCTAGCTTGGACCGGGACTACTACCAGTGGACGTAGTAGAAGCCCAAACTGTTGAACACCTTGTGCTGTTCCAGCTTCTTTGCAATCAAGCGGAGGATCAGAATGCAGGTCGCTTTCCCTAAAACATCCCAAGCTTGGTGCGCCTTCGAAAGGACAGAGAAGATGGGAAGATGAGAAGGTCTACAAATGAGAACCATTTTGGATTAATTGGAGCGGGAGTTGACTGGAACCCGGACTGCCGAGCTTTCTCCTTCCCATGATCATCCGGCGTCTGCCCAGGCCTTTGCTTTAGCAGCAGGGGGCCTCTATTGGCGCATGTGCTTCGCGCATGGATATCATGCATAACACATTCATAATTTCGAAAATTCATCCACAATTGAGCACCAACCACTTTTGGCACCACCACTGATAATGCTCATCAAGGCCTAGTCTCAGCAGAAAAGGCTCTTGCATGAACAGTTCCTGAAGCCTTCGCAAATGGTGTGTGTTTTGACCCATGCTGCAACAGACCGCTTTAATTCTACTTGACATTATGTGTGCCGGGATTAGTCGTGGGATTGTGGGTGGCAACTGAGGCAGTCCTTTTCCTGGTGCTGGATGAGCTCCTTCTCGAGGTTCTTGGATTGATCAGTGTCAGCTCGGCTCCAACCTACACTGGATGGCTTGACGCTCACGCACTGTGAAGAATATGACTGAAAGTTCCAATATTGTAAGGATGCTGTGACACCCAAATAGAGAGAAAGGAGCTCTGCTCTCCAGACTTATAACGTCCCGCAGTACACTTGCAAAACTGATACAAAGAGAGTATTCGGCAAATGCAGTATGAAGCGCCAGCCAGCCTTGGTAGAGTGTAGAGAGCCACCTGCCACTTTAGGACTTGTTACCAGACAAAGTTGAAATGATATATATATATATACATTAGAAAGAGTTGCGAAAAAAAGTCTATAAAGAGACATTGCATGTGAGTGCAACAAGTGTTTGAGTGAGTGCAGAACGGACACGATGACAGATTATCAAGCGAGCTTCGAGTTTCTTTGGAGTTCTGATGTCAATCTGTGACTGCTAGACCACACGTAGCAGGACTCAGCAGCCACAAACCTTCCAAGCAATCAAGCAATCAACCTTTAAGCCCCTCATTTATAAAGGAGTATTGGGCACTTATATACTGGCGTTTCCGTTGATGTGTGGACCAACAATGAGGTGCCTCACGATTTTTCGCTGACCGTAGCCTAGCATCTAGCTGCAGTACCTCTCATTCCTTGGACCAAGCTGGCGGCCTGTCTCTTGTGAGGCTCATGAGAAGGAAGAAAGCGAGGCAGATCGGTATTCCGTGGGAGTCGCACGTTCTTCAGTCTGTTTCTTGACTTGGCAAACCAGTGCATATATATATATATATTGTGATCAAGCTGACAGGGACATTTGTATGGAACACTTGACAATGCATCACTCTCTATTTTCCTCAATGGTGCGCAGGGATGGACGGTCTCCGTCTGGCTGTACATTGGTTTATTGCTCAGCATCGGGTTCGACGTGCTCTTCTGAGAGTGCGAGGGCGGATCAAAGAACATCAACCAGAGACGGTGCAAGGACGCAGGGGAAAGGCCAATAATGCCACAAATTGACATTGGATGCCTCCACAAGATAGTTCACCTGCATCGGGGAATGATCCTAGTGAGTAGTGGACACCAACAGAGTACTGATGGAGTCACTGGCACCAGACTTGCAGACTACCTGCAGCTGCGCCTTGCACATTGCTTTGGCAAACTTTTACTGTTGTGACACCTCAGCCTACACCAGCTGAAGCCCATCAGGTGAAGCCTGACACACAGGTTTGTCTCTGAATTTGTCCAGCCAAGCTTCGAGCTGTCCTTTCATCGAACCACTCTCTTTATTTCTTTGAACCCGAACGAGCCAACAAAAGCTTTGATGAGTAGAGGATTGTCTCATTGTTTGGCTTGCTAACTAGCGCGTGAATGAGCCTTTACCTATTCACCGAAACAGAGACACTTATTGACTTGTCTTCTAAGCGATATCTTCTTCCTCCTGTTGAAAGGCGGCGGCACCTTATTTTCCACCTGCCAAGCAGGACAGGGTGGATTGATCCCCCTGCGGCATAAGCCAAACCCAAGATGTCTTGAAGAAGTTGTGCGATCCGCGCCTAATAGCTGGAGAGTATGCTGCAGGTCTGTCAGTTGAGCTTTTTGCATGTGGGTTGTGTCAGTGTACAGTGTATGGATCTATTTGTTCCCGCCACGCTTGCACCTTTCGGCAAGCTTGCGATGAAATGCTCTCAAACAGCTATACGAAACTCAGCGAGTATGTTTTGGCTGCCTCACCTCATATAGCCCAATATGCCTTGCACATGCCATGTCACTCAGAGTACAAGGAGATCAGACTAAACCCAGCCCCACATAATCTATACAAGTCTAAAGGCAGCCCCAGCACCGCCTTGATGGCGACAGGCAGCTTCATTTTCAGGCCTCCAACTGTTGGTTCGTCGAACTCGAAACCAGTCCACCATGAGCTTTCAACATGTCTCAAACTCAACGTTTCTCTTCGATTATTTTGTGACTTGTGCAGGTATCTGAAGGGTGAATCCGCCGAGGCCCTGGTGGCTGGTGTGCTGGTGTAGCTGTTGGCTTGTGAACACTTCTGTTTTCAAGACTTAGATAAGATTGACAAAAGTGGTAAGATACTCCCATTTGGATGCGGTCCACTGTGCCAGCTATGCTCAATACAGAAGCAACTTTGCTAGAATTCGTTCAGACGAGCAATGACAATCCTCAGCATTGGAGGATGATGCCTATCCTGAAGAAGACCCGAGATATGGGGTCCAAGATGCAGTGGAGGAGATTGGGTCTTTGTAAACGACCCTCATCAACATCCAAGAGACACTAGTCCTCAGCAAAGCCAAGCAGCCAAGGCCAGGATTTTTTTCTGGATGATACAGGGCCGGGTGCTTCGCGGCAAATCTGAGTGAAGGGGAGGCTGCTCAGGAACACCCTCACTATCTATGCATATCATTTCAGCACGCTACATACCCCCCTTCCTTCCGCGGGCGCTTCCCTTGGCCCCCCTGAATCTGGCCGGCACCGGGGCCTGTCTGTCCCGGAAGGCCTTCGGTCTTAACCGAACCAGCGTTTTAGGGTATTTTGTGGCCTTCCGATGTATGATTACTTTTGTCGTAATGCAGCCAGAAGTGCCCTGCATAATTAAGCATTCAATTTTTTTGTTGCTTTTCATTGCCTTGCATTGCATCATCCGAAACATAGGCCCAACATGGGCCAACATGGGCCAACATGGCCCAGCATGGGCCGAACCTAGGCCTCGACACGGGCGGAGAGAGAGAGAGAGAGAGAGAGAAGAAAAAACCGGGAGAAAGAAAGATAGAGAGAGAGAGAGCGAAAGCTAAAAAAGGACCATGAAAGCCCTTTCCTCTTCCCTTCAGGTCGGCTGGTGCCCTGCTGTCAGGCGTAAGCCTATAAATATATACGTACACACACACACACATCTATATATATATATATAGACATAAGCATCTATATTATATATATATGTATATATATATATCCGTGCTGTATATATATATACACATACATAAGCATCTATACTATATATATATATACACACACACATATATATATATATACATATATAGTATTGTATAGACATAATTTTGTATTTCTCAGTGATGGTGAGCCGCAGCACATCAAAAGACTTCAGGATCTCAAGAAGGTCTGGGCATCCTTCCAGGATGATCAACAGGCTGATGTTGGGGACTTTCTCCACACCCTCTGGCACTTGGCTGGCTCCACCCACGGGGGGGCAGGTTGTTCAGAATCACTGGGCCAGGGGTTCTTAAAAATCATGAGCATTTCCGCTTGCACATGAAAGTGCAGGACTCCTCCGATTTGGACACCGTCATCTCCCAATGGAGATCAGAGACAATACTTGTATGGAGACCCCAGAGCACTCATCATTCACTTTGACACCGAGTCATGCAGGGAGCACATGGCTGGACCAAACATCATTGACCGGTTCAAGGGCTGCCCTTGAAAAGGATCTCAATCCACAATCACGCCACGGATGATCTCTCGGTTGCTCACTTGGCCACAGCCCACGACTCTCCACGATCCGCAGGACTTGAGAAAAATCGTTGAAGCCAGGAGACTGCCTGCCATCCACGAGCTGTAGAAGCCTCCTCACCTAAACTTCAAGAGTAGCTTCAGCAGGCCCACCTTCGAGGGCTCTTCCGCTCACTCAGTCAGGCGAGAAGATGTCCCGCAGAAAAGACCATTCCAGCACATGGACCCGGGTCAACGCATCGTCTCAAGACATCAGCAGTGGGCCACTCGACTCCAAACAGAAGGCCAACCTGGACCGGCTCTCACCTATCAAGGATGCCCTCACCCATCAGCATCTTGAAGCTCATCCTTTCCAAGCCACTTAGGGCCACCATGCATCAACGCCCAGCCATCACTCTCAAGACCTGGTTGATAACCTGTCCTTTGACATTCAAGGGACAGACCCTCAAGAAGTTGCCACTGAAGCCCTTGCAGCTTTCCGTGATCTTGATCGTGTCCTTCAAGCAGCCGGGCAGGCTTTCTCACCAGCGCAAAGGAAGTCAAACAAGCTCCAGCGGCACAGCATCATCGTCCACAGGCTGAAGATCAAGCCCAGGGTCCAATTCAGACTTCGCAAAGGATGCGCAGGCCATGGGCCTGGCCCTACAAAGGCGCCAACATCTTCGAGTCTTGGCTGAAAGTGCACAATAGAGGTGGACATCGTCTATGACTCCAATCCCTTGGTACAGGATCCTCGGGACATGGGTTGAAGACCGTGTGGAGCCGCCAGGTACAAATGGCAGCACGCGAAGGGACCTCTCCAAGCACTCCAAGCCTGTGTCATCGACGTGGACTTGAACGTGGCTGGGGAAACTTGGACCCACGACGGCTTTGCTGGAGTTAACTGGCAGAGACTCCTGCGTATCATTCGCCAAAAGGTCTCAGAGTCAGGGCGCCCTAATCACTCCAGCGTCTGATTTGGGAGTGTCGTTACTGGCAACCCAAGGGGAAAGCGCTGTAAAGAGAATGGAGCGGATCCAAAATTGTATAGTGCCTGGACTCCCATCTTTGCCAATGACGAGTTCCCTCACCTCCGCCCGCAAGGTCCTCCACCGCCCAGATACCCAAAAGGGCTCCGCCCGACGAGACCAACTTCGAAAGGTGCTCTACGAGGAGACTTTAGCGGCAGCCTGTGGGCGCGTTAAACTCAAGGGAAGCTGGAGATCATCTCTACACCGTACTCACCGACAAGGATCACCTACTCACAAGGAGCCACTCTTGGAGCAGAAGAGGATCATCATCAAGCAGATCCTGGCCAATGCAGACCGACGCGGGCACTCCTGGACTTTATTCTGCTCCGGCGTCCAGTGCAAGCAATGCAAAACAAGGCTCCACAGCAAAAGCACCCCGGAACAACTTCGCAGTGAACCAGTTGAACCATGCTCTGGCGCTGTGGCGCCTGATCGAGGTGACTCGCTGGAGTATATTGGGCAGCTGATCGAAACAGGAGACAACCAAACCACCACAGCCCACAACCTCAAGGTCGACAAGGCCTGAGGTGCAAGCGCTGCGGGAGAGCAAACCTTCAAGGGCTTTCTGGCCGCCCCTTGTCACTTTGGCCCTGTTGAGGCCCGTTTGTGGAAGGGACACGTCCCCCATCATATGGAGCGCATTGGCCAGACCATCATGTGCAAAATCTGTGGTGCCAGTGGCAGGCTGGACCCCCTTCATGTTCCAATGCCGGCCACCAAGTCCGGCCTTTTCTTGACAGAGAGCCGGCAGAAAGAACCCATTCGAGCAAAAACACAATGCAATTTTGGCATTTGGTGGTGGCCCTTGCACCCTGGTGAAGTGACCAAAAACTTGTGTTTTTGGTTGTGTTTTACATTAACATAGTTGCCCTGTTGCAGTGCCATGTCCTGCAGAACGCGCAGGAGCCCAAAGAGGGCTTGGAAACAGCTGCAGGACACGGACTGGGTTTGTGCAGCTTGTATACTGATGTGCTTTTTGAGTGGCAATGACTTCATGCCAGTTTTATGCCTTCAACCATAGGCAAGGGACTACCAAGTGGCGTCAATGGCTGGATTCTTTTCGAGAGCGGCTCTTCAGCCTTAAACTCAGGAGAGGAGGCTGAGGAGGTCGAAGTAGAGCCTGAAGAAGCTCCAAAAGACCAGGTGTTCAGATGCTGATCTCCCTTTCCTCCCGATGATGTCGAGTAGGGCGTCGTGGCAACAAACGTTGCTCTCTAAACCTTGTTTTGTTGCCTGAAAGCCGTGCAGGTGGAAGACCAGCAGATGGAAGACGTCAAAGAAGAGGACAGTTTTCTTTCTGCTAGAACAGATGCAATGGCAGCGGCCTCCAGACTGTTCAATTGCTGGGTTTCATGTGCTGATCAGCAGAGGGTCTGACCGGGCAAGGGTTGCGTGGCCGTTTGGATAGTAGGGAACCTAACCGCTGGATTCAGTGTGGTGCTCCTTCAGCATTGAGACACCACATGGGTTAAGATCAGATTCGGTGGTTTTAACTTGACAACTATGATTCCGAAAGTGCCCGCAGCAGATTCATCGGACACTCTCACTCTGCCCCCGACCATCAT